TTTATCTTATGATATGTCAAGGAGATTCCATATGCATCACTGATATAGTTGTCTGTGCCCAAAATAGATTTTGAACTTTCAGCTATCTTCTTGGATGCACTAGGCTAATATAGGTAATAGAGAAGAAGTGTACAAAAGTCATACTCAAGTGAGGAGAATTCTCAGTCTACTTGGTAAAAAGGTAGTGAAAGTATCAAACTAGTAGAAGCCTCTGTTTAAGGATATAATGCTTAGAGTTTTGACTCAAATGCCAGGGTAAAAAACTTAGCTCCTATGCAGTACATATAATACAATCTCAAGTTTTAGGGGTTACAACTACAGAAGATTGGCGATTATTCTAGGCAAGGAAATGGCAGAAACTAAAATGGAAAATGAACTCTGTAAGATGGAACAAGAGAAAGTAGCACACTGAAATGTAAGTAACCAGGAAGAGGAGGAGGAAGGCAGACAAGGAATGAAGACCAGTTAGTCAGGTGGCAACCAGGCTTAGGAGATTCTGAGCAAATATTTCCTTGCTCACAATGAGGAATTGATCACAAATGGGATTTCCCAGCTAATGAAAGAACAATGAGATGATCTTCTGGAGTACAACTCTCTAACTAATAGATTAGTCAAGGCTTAGTCTCCATATACTACTGTATTTACAGTTCCATTAAGCCCAAGTGCTGGCAAGGCAAATTTAACAATGACCCCTTGCTATAATTCTAGATTAGTAGGCCGAGGTGATTTCAGCCTCATTTCATGGCTATCATAGAAATTTTCTTTTCGTGTCTCTAAAAAATAAGATAGCTGCAAGGGGACAGACAAATGGCTAATTTCAGGTCAGATTAGTTGGAGACTGATATGGTTTGGCTGTGACCCCACCCAAAATCTCATCTTAAATTGTAATCCTGACCGGGCGTGGTGGCTCACGAGGTCAAGAGATCGAGACCCTCCTGGTCAACAAGGTGAAACCCCGTCTCTACTAAAAATACAAAAATTAGCTGGGCATGGTGGTACGCGCCTGTAGTCCCAGCTACTCGGGAGGCTGACGCAGGAGAATTGCCTGAACCCAGGAAGCGGAGGTTGCGGTGAGCCGAGATTGTGCCATTGCACTCCAGTCTGGGTAACAACAGCGAAACTTCGTCTCAAAAAAAAAAAAAAAATTGTAATCCCATAATCACATGTCAAAGGTGGGACCAAGTAGAGGTAATTTGATCATGGGAGCAGTTTCTCCCATGCTGTTCTCGTAATAGTGAATGAGCCTCACGAGATCTGATGGTTTTATAAGTCTCTGGCATTTCCCCTGCTTGCATCATTCTCTCTCCTGCTGCCCTGTGAAGGAAGAAGTGCCTTCTGCCATGATTGTAAGTTTCCCAAGGCCTCCCCAGCCATGTGGAAACTGTGGTCAATTAAGCCTCTTTTCTTTATAAATTACTCTGTCTTGGGTATTTCCTTATAGTGGCATGAGAATGAACTAATACAGAGTCAATTTGCATTAAGAATACTGGAATTTCTCAGACAGATTCCAAATAATCACAATTTATCCTATGGTAGTCAAATAACAATCTAAAACATTACAGCTATCAGTAGATTTTAACTAACCCATATGGCTTAAAGTCTTTAGTACACAATAAAATGTATTTTTCATCTCTCCAGACTTCATTTCTGAGATATCTGGAGCATAGCCACCAGATATTTTCATGTAAGGAATGGCAAAATGACTGGGCATGGTGGCTTATACCTGTAATCCCAGCATTTTGGGAGGCTGAAGTGGGAGGATAGCTTGATCCCTGGAGTTCGAGACACAGCCTGGGCAAGACACCATCTCTAAAAAAAATACATGGTAAGAAGAATAGCTAAATGATGTAGCAGAGAGTCATAATGGAAAAGGCCCGTATCCATGGCCCTGAAGAAGGAGCAGTAACAATTCTCACCACCATTTCATTACGTTTCTGGTTCAGTCTACCCACAGCTACATCCCATGGTTTATATTTAACTTACTTATCATACTTACTTACAATACCAGCTTTTTCCCACTAAACAAAGAGCTCCTTATAGGTAGAGACCATGAGATCAGCTTTTTTAGATGCCACATATGAGTGAGATCATACAGTATTTGTCTTTCTGTGTCTGGTTTATTCACTTAAGATAATGTTCTCCAGATTCATCCATGTGGTTGCAAATGACAGGATTTACCTCTTTTTTATGGCTGGATATTATGGTGGTTACCAGGGGGTGGGACAGTGAGGAGGGAGGAGTTGGGGAAATGTTGATCAAAGGTTACAAATTTCAGTTAGATAGGAAGAATAAGTTCCAGAGATCTATTGTACAACATGGTGACTATAATAAATAACAATACATTGTATTCTTGAAAAATTCAAAGAGTAGATTTTAAGTGCTCTCACCACCAAATGACAACTATATGAGGTAATGTATATGTTAATAAGCTTGATTTAACCATTCTGGAAGGGGTTGTGTGTGTATGTATTTCAAAACATGTTGTACGCAGTAAGTATAACAATTTCATGTTAATTTAAAAAACCCATTAAAATATATTTAGTTATAATTTTGAGGTACAAGTGGTTTTTGGTTACATGGATACATTATATAGTGGTGAATTCTGAGATTTTGGTGCACCCATCACCCAAGCAATGTACACCATCCCCAATATGTAGTTTTTTATCCCTCACTCCATTCACACCCTCCCCCTTCTGAGTCTCCAGAGTCCATTTTACAACTTTGTTGTATGCCTTTGTGTACTCACAGCTCAGCTCTCACTTACAAATGAGAACATATAGTATTTAGTCTTCCATTCCTGAGTTACTTCACTTAGAATAATGACCTCCAGCTCCAACCACATTGCTGCAAAAGACATTATTTTATTCTTTTTATGACTGAGTACTTTTCCATGGTGTATATACACCACTTTTTCTTTAACCACTCATTGATCAATGGGCAGTTAGGTTGGTTCTGTATCTTTGTAACTGTAAACTGTGCTTCAATAAACATGTGTGCATGTGTCTTTTTCATATAATTACTTCTTTTCTTTTGAGTAGATATCCAGCAGTGGGACTGCTGAATCAAATGGTAGACCTATTTTTAGTTTATTAAGCAATCTCCATACTGTTTTCCATAGAGACTGTACTAATTTGCATTCCTACCAGCAGTGTATAAGCCAAATACTTAGAAGCACATCCTTCTCTTTTCACCGTATCTATGCCAACATCTATTTTTTTGACTATTCTTGTCAGAGCAAGATAGTATACAATTGTGGTTTTAATTTGCATTTCCCTGATGATTAGTAATGTTGAGCATTTTTTTCATGTTTGTTGGACATTTGTATATCTTCTGAGAAATGTCTTATCACGTCATTTGTTCACTTTTTGATGGGGTTAGTAGTTTTCTTGCTGATCTGTTTGAGTTCCTTGTAGATTATGATACTAGTCCTCTGATGGATGCAGAGTTTACAAATATATCCCCCATTCTGTAGGTTATCTGTTTACTCTGATGATTATTTCTTTTGCGGTGCAGAAGCTTTTTAGTTTGATTAGGTCCCATTTATTTGTTTTTGTTGCATTTGCATCTGGGGTTTTAGTCATGAATTCTTTGCCAAGGCCAATCGTCAAAGAGTTTTTCCAAGGTTATCTTCTAGAATTTTTATGGTTTCAGGTCTTAGATTTAAGTCTTGATCCATCTTGAGTTGATTTTTGTACATGGTAAGAGACTGAGATCTAGTTTCATTCTTCTACATGTGGCTAACCAGTTTTCCCAGAACCATTTATTAAATCAGGTATCCTTTCCACAATGTATGTTTTTGTATGTTTTGTCAGAGATCTGTTGGTTGTAAATATTTGGCTTTATTTCTGTGCTCTCTATTCTGTTCCATTAGTCTATGTTCCTACTTTTATACCAGTACTATGCTGTTTTGGTAACTATAGCCTGGTAGTATAATTTGAAGTCTGGTAATGTGATGCCTCAGGTTTGTCCTTTTTACTTAGGATTGCTTTGGCTAGTCAGGATCTTTTTTGGTTCCATATAAATTATAGAATTGTTTTTCCTAATTTTGTCAAAAATTATGCTGGCATTTTGATAGGACTTTTCACAGTATTGATTCTTCCAATCCATGAGCATGGGGTGTGTTTCCTTTGTCTGTATCATCTATGATTTCCTTCAGCATTGTTTTACAGTTCTCCTCATAGAGATTTTTCACCTCCTTAAATATATTTCTAGGTATTTTATATTTTTTGCAGCTGTTTTTAAAAGAGATTGAGTTCTTGATGTGATTCTTAGCTTGGTGGTTGTTAGTCTATAGCAGTGATACTGATTTGCATACACTGATTTTGTAACCTGGGATTTTACAAAATTTGTTTATTTTTATTTTTATTTTTTGAGACGGAGTTTTGCTCTGGTTACCCAGGCTGGAGTGCAATGGCGCGATCTCGGCTCACTGCAACCTCCGCCTCCTGGGTTCAGGCAATTCTCCTGCCTCAGCCTCCTAGTAGCTGGGATTACAGGCACGCGCCACCATGCCCAGGTAATTTTTGTATTTTTAGTAGAGACGGGGTTTCACCATGTTGACCAGGATGGTCTCGAGCTCTTGACCTCGTGATCCACCCACCTCGGCCTCCCAAATCTAGGAGTCTTCTGGAGGAGTCTTTAGGGTCTTCTAGGTATATGACCATATAACCAGTGAACAGATTGTTTGAGTTCCTCTTTTCCAACTTAGCTGTCCATTACTTCTTTCTCTTGCCTGACTGCTCTGGCTAGGACTTCCTAATGGATTAAAAATAAATGGTGAAAGTGGGCATCTTTTTCTTGTTCCACTTCTCAGGAGGAATACTTTCATCAACTTTTCCCCATTCAGTATGATGTTGACTGTGTGTTTATTATATATGGCTTTTATTATTTTGAGGCAAGTCTCCTTCTATATCTAGTTTGTTGAGAGTCTTTATCACAAAGTCATGCTAGATTTCATCAAATGCTTTTTCTGCATCTACTGAGATAATCATATTTTTTTGGTATTAAAACATTTTTATTTGAATAACTGGGGAGAAGAGAAATATATTTCAGCACTTAGATATGTAGATTATTTCCAAAATAGTTTAACACTCAACTAGTCAGTTCTGTCAAATCAGTCTTCCCTGAAGCAGGCATTGTTCCCAGGTACAAGCAGTCCTCATTTTGCACAGTATTGTGGGACCATAAAAATGGCCATGCAAAACAGTCTTAATATCAATGGGGAAAATGACTGTTCCATGACCTTTAAAATTCTGCTAAAATATTAAAAACTCTTAAGATCACTTGTAAATGTAGGAAAAAAATGCAAAAAAGTTTAATACTATTTATATAGTACACTGTAATTTAAAACATTAGAAATAGAATTAAACTGTTTTATTTCATTGTAGAAACTAAGTAGTTTGAATAGGGCTTGCCTTTTCTTCTGCCAAGTAACTTATGGTACTGAGTAAGCATCTTTTCTATTCATGACAAACTGTCATACCACCTTTTTAAGTTTCGGTCAGCTTCCCAGCTTTTATTGCTTGTGCTTTTGAAATATTTCTGTATTCACATTAAATATTCTTTTTTTTTTTTGAGACGAAGTTTCGCTGTTGTTACCCAGACTGGAGTGCAATGGCACGATCTCGGCTCACCACAACCTCCGCCTCCTGGGTTCAAGTAATTCTCCTGCCTCAGCCTCCTGAGTAGCTGGGACTACAGGCATGCACCACCACACCCCGCTATTTTTTGTATTGTTAGTAGAGACGGGGTTTCACCTTGTTGACTAGGATGGTCTTGATCTCTTGACCTTGTGATCCACCCTCCTTGGCCTCCCAAAGTGCTGGGATTATAGGCGTGAGCCACCGCGCCCAGCTAACATTAAATATTCTTTAATGCATTTTTCCCTTCCTCTGGGACATTTTTTCTTTCCTGTTGCTGGAGTGCAGTGGCACGATCTCGGCTCACTGCAACCTCTGCCTCCTAGGTTCAAGTGAATCTCCTGCCTCAGCCTCCCGAGTAGATGGGATTACAGGCATATGCCACTATGGCAAGCTAATTTTTTGTATTTTTAGTAGAGATGGAGTTTCACCATGTTGGCCATGCTGGTCTCCAACTCCTGACCTTGTGATTTGTCCACCTCAGCCTCCCAATTACGTGGCCCGTCTGTAATCCTCGGTTCATGGATTATAGGTGTGAGCCACTGCACCTGGCCGGGACACATTTATCTTTACTGCAACCACTTTTCTTACATGTACTGATAAGTTTGCCTTCACTAAGCTCCTATGAATGCATAGCAGCAAGAACAACATTCCCATGATCAGTGACTTCTACAAATCAATTTATGTTTGATTCAAATTTCACTTCCAGTGTTATTACTATTTTTCATTGCTTTGCTGCACTTTGATCTTTGTTGGCTAATTGTTCCCTTTTATAAAATGTCAAGTGGATGACAAAAAGACAGCATAACTACGTGCTCTGCTGTGAGTGAACTGAGTAACAGATGCACAGGGATCAACCACTGGAAGAATTTGAAAGAAGTAACATGACTGGTCACTGATCATGAAGCATATCTGTTATTTACTTAGTGATCTGTAAACTGAAGAACTAGCAGAGAAGTTTGTACCTCATGTAATTACTCATAGTTATACTGTGCTAACTAAAATTTTAACTTAGATTTAAACATCACCAGTTTCCTTTCCTTCCTGGTAAGGAAACTGGTGGTGTTTAAATCTAGGTCATTGAAATTTGTGCCCATGGGAACCATGCAAAGTGAGGACTTCCTGCACCCTCTACTTGTTTATACTGATCCAGACAGGCTTAACACTGACTACTGAGAAATAGCCTATCTAAATTTATATCAAATAGTGAATTTTAAAGCATCGAAGATGAAAAATTACTGCACATTGAGGTGGTTTCAAAATCTCTGTCATTTGACAATCAAGCTTAAAATGCATCTTAGAGTAACAGAATTTTAGAAATAAAGACCTTCAAAGGCCCCATAGTTTGATACCACAGGTTATCCAGAGTGTTTATTATGAGTTATTTCGCCTCCTTCAATTTCAATTTGCTCATACAGCCACTTGCGGTCACAGTGGCATTCAGCTCCACATTTGGTAGAACCATAGGCAGGACAAGCATGGAAACATCCTAAGCAATCTTCATCAAGTCAGTCACAGAGGTCCATCCCACTAAAAATCAGGAGCCCCTGGCTAACATAGACCTTACTCTTCGCTGGTATCACCTGTCTGAACCAGCGGTTGCATTTTTTATAAGCCTTCTTTTCTCTCTTTTACCAGTTTCTAGAGCAAATTCAGTTTGCCTTCCTGGATTTGTAAATTGTAATGATCTCAAAGCTTTCTCAATTCTTCCATCTGACTCAGGTTTCCTTCTCTGGCGGTCTTCAGTATCAACACCCACACTTCTGTTGATTATCTGTGCGCATTTTGGACAAAGCTTCCAACCAGGTACAAGCTGTCTTCCGAATTTTGCACTCAGAAAAGTGGCATCATCTAAGTCAATTACATGCAAATTCTTTTTTGCTAGTTTTTTGTGTATGTTAAATGGGTCACAACATGACTTCTGTAAATCCTCAAATCTGTCAATGTAAATTTTTACATGATGAAAGCAAATTGTATTGTTCCCAGAAAGTGTCATTCCAGTTCTAAGTTGAAGTAAAAGCATATCATTTGATGACAATTCTTGCAAAGTCTTAAAACCTGTGTGACGAGTATAGTATGTTTTATGGCACTCATTTGTAGTACAAAGCTGGACTCCAACTGAGCATGGATCCATCATTCTTGATTCTAGCAAATTTTCCCTGCTTTATTTTGTCTAGAGGTCTAGGTCATAGGCTGATCACCCTTAGCTTGAGCTCTCTTCCACCTGGCGGGGCAGGATCCGCGTCCTTACAGGCCAATCATGTTTTTAATTCTGTTTATGTGATGTGTTACAATTATTGACTTGCATATGTTAAACCATCCCTGCATCCCTGGGATGAAGCCCACTTGATTATGGTAGGTTTGATCAACCTGCTTGATCTTTTTGATGTGCTGTTTGATTTGGTTAGCTAGTATTTTATTGAGGATTTTTGCATCTATGTTTATCAGGGATATTGGTCTGTAGTTTCTTTTTTTTAATGTTCTTTCCTGGTTTTGGAATCAGGGTGATACTGGCTTCATAGAATGTTTTAGGGAGGATTACCTCTTTCTCAATCTTTTGAAATACTTCATTTGAATTGGTACCAATTATTCTCTTAACGTCTGGGAGAATTCACATCAGAATTCATCTGGCCCCGGGCTTTTTTGTTGCTAGCAATTTTTTTTTAATTACTCATTCAATCTTATTGTTTGTTATTGGTCTGTTCAGGGGACCTATTTCTTCCTGATTTAATCTAGGAGAGTTGTATGTTTCCAGGAATTTATCCATTTCCTCTAGATTTTCTAGTTTGTGTGCAGAGAGGTGTTGTTAGTAGTCTCAAATGACCATAATTTGAATTTTCTCTCTTCTTTTCTTGGTTAATCTAACTAATAGTATATCAATTTTGTTTATGTTTTCAGAGAACCAGTTTTTGGTTTAATTTTTTGCATTTTTTTTGTTTCAATTTCATTTAGTTCTGCTTTGATCTTTATTATTTCTTTTCTTCTGGTAGCTTTGGGTTTTTGTCATTTTTCTAGTTCCTTGAGGTGTGATATTAGACTGTCAATTTGTGATCTTTCATATTTTTTGATGTAGGCATTTAGCACTATAAACTTTCCTATTAGCACTTCTTTTGCTGTTTCTCAGAGGTTTTAATAATCTGTCACTACTATCATTCATTTAAAAGAATTTTTTAATTTCCATCTTCATTTCATTGTTAATCCAAAAATCATTCAGGAGCAGATTGTTTAATTTCCATGTCTTTGTATGGTTTCAAGGGTTTCTTTTGGAGTTAATTTCTACTTTTATTCCACTGTGGTCTCAGATAATACTTGATATATAATTTTGATGTTTATAAATTTGTTAAGACTTGCTTTGTGGCCTATCATATGGTCTATCTTGGAGAATGTTAAATGTATTGATGAGAAGAATGTATATTGTGCATATCTTGGGTAGAATGTTATTTAAACGTCTGTAAGGTCCATTTGTTCTAGAGTGTCATTTAAGTCTATTTTTTTGTTGTTGTTGTTGACTTTGTCTTGATGATCTATATGGTACTGTCAGTGGAATACTGAAGTTCCCCACTATTATTATGTTGCTACTCATCTCATTTCATAGGTCTAGTGGTAATTGTTTTATGAATCTGGGAGCTCCAGTGTTAGGCACATATAAATTTAGGATTATAATACCTTCTTGTTGGATTGATCCTTTTATCACTGTATAATGACCTTCTTTGTCTTTTTTTTCACTGTTGTTGCTTTAATGTCTGTTTTATTTGATGTAAGAATAGCCACTTCTGCTTGCTTTTGGTGTCCATTTGCATGGAGTATCTTTTTCTACCTCTTCATCTTGAGTTTATATAAATCCTTACATGTTAGGTGAATCTCTTACAGACAGCAGATACTTGGTTTGTAATTTTTTCTTCCGGCCAATCTGTATCATTTAAGTGGAGCATTTAAGCAATTTATGTTTTACATTGATATTGAGATGTGAGATACTGTCCCATTCATCATGTTAACTGTTACCTAGATACTTTGTATTTTTCATTGTGTTATTGTTTCATAGGCCTTGTGAGTTTTATGCTTTTAAGAAGTTCTATTTTGCTGCCTATCAAGCTTTTGTTTCAAGATTTAGAACTCCTTTTAGAATTTCTTTTTTTTTTTTTTTTTTTTTTTTTAATTTTTTATTGGATTATAGGTTTTGGGGTACATGAGCAGAGCATGCAAGACAGTTGCGTAGGTACACACATGGCAGTGTGCTTTGCTTTTCTTCTCCCCTTCACCCACATTTGGCATTTCTCCCCAGGCTATCCCTCCCCACCTCCCCCTCCCACAGGCCCTCCCCTTTTCCCCCCAATAGACCCCAGTGTTTAGTACTCCCCTTTCTGTGTCCATGTGTTCTCATTTTTCATCACCCACCTATGAGTGAGAATATGCGGTGTTTCATTTTCTGTTCTTGTGTCAGTTTGCTGAGGATGATGTTTTCCAGATTCATCCATGTCCCTACAAACGACACGAACTCATCATTTCTGATTGCTGCATAATATTCCATGGTGTATATGTGCCACATTTTTCCAATCCATTCTATTATCAATGGGCATTTGGGTTGATTCCAGGTCTTTGCTATTGTAAACAGTGCTGCAATGAACATTCGTGTACATGTGTCCTTATAGTAGAACGATTTATAGTCTTTTGGATATATACCCAGTAATGGGATTGCTGGGTCAAATGGAATTTCTATTTCTAAGGCCTTGAGGAATCGCCACACTGTCTTCCACAATGGTTGAACTAATTTACACTCCCACCAACAGTGTAAAAGTGTTCCTTTTTCTCCACATCCTCTCCAGCATCTGTTGTCTCCAGATTTTTTAATGATCACCATTCTAACTGGCGTGAGATGGTATCTCAATGTGGTTTTGATTTGCATCTCTCTGATGACCAGTGACGATGAGCATTTTTTCATATGATTGTTGGCCTCATATATGTCTTCTTTCGTAAAGTATCTGTTCATATCCTTTGCCCACTTTTGAATGGGCTTGTTTGTTTTTTTCCTGTAAATCTGCTTGAGTTGTTTGTAAATTCTGGATATCAGCCCCTTGTCAGATGGGTAGACTGCGAAAATTTTTTCCCATTCTGTTGGTTGCCGATCCACTCTAGTGACTGTTTCTTTTGCCGTGCAGAAGCTGTGGAGTTTCATTAGGTCCCATTTGTCTATTTTGGCTTTTGTTGCCAATGCTTTTGGTGTTTTGTTCATGAAGTCCTTGCCTACTCCTATGTCCTGGATAGTTTTGCCTAGATTTCCTTCTAGGGTTTTTATGGTGCCAGGTCTTATGTTTAAGTCTTTAATCCATCTGGAGTTAATTTTAGTGTAAGGTGTCAGGAAGGGGTCCAGTAACAGAAATACTTCATCATCAACATTCTGGGTGTCCACTCAGAGACCCAAACGAAAAGTCAGCAACTACGCAGACGACCAGCGGACAAATCCTTTTAGAATTTCTTGTAGGGCTAGTCTGATAGTGACAAACTCCCTTGGCATTTGTCTGAAAATGACTATATTTCTCCTTCATTTAAGAAACTTAGTTTTACTAGATACAAAATTCTTGGCTGACAGTTATTCTGTTTAGGGAGGCTAAAGACAGGACCCTAATCCCTCTGGCTTGTAAGGTTTCTGCTGAGAAGTCTGCTGTTAGTCTGACGGGTTTTCCCTTAGAAAACAGGTTAACTGATGCTTTTGTCTCACTGCTCTTACAATTTTCCTTCACATTGACTTTAGATAGGCTGATGACTATATGCCTTGGTGATGTCCTTTTTGCAAGAAATCTCTCAGGATTTCATTGTGCTTCTTGTATTTGGATATCTAAATCTCTAGCAAGGTCAGAGAAATTTTCCTCATTTATTCATTCAAATAAGTTTTCCAAACTTTTTGCTTTTACTTCTTCAGGAACATCAGTTATTTTTAGGTTTGGCCATTTTACATAATTCCATATTTTTGGAGACTCTGTTCATTTATTTTTATCCTTTTTTTTCAAGCTTTGAAATTCTTTCTTCTAGTTGTTCTAGTCCATTTGTAAGTCTTTCCACTGCATTTTGTAATTCCCTAAATGTGTCTTTTATTTCCAGAAGTTCTGATTGGCTGTTCTTCAAGATATCTATCTCTTTAGAAAATTTTTCATTCATATTCTGAATTTTTAAAAAATTATTTTGTGTTGGCTTTCACCTTTCTCCAGTATCTCCTTGTACTCAAGGAAATAATCAAAGCTTAATAATCTACCATTTGAATTCTTTAGCTGGTATTTCAAAAATTTCATCTTGGCCAGGCTTGATGGCTCATGCCTGTAATCCCAGCACCTTGGGAGGCCAAGATGGGTGGATCACCTGAGGTCAAGAGTTCAAGACCACCTGGCCAACAGGGTGAAACCTCATCTTTACTAAAAATACAAAAAAAAAAAAAAAAAAAAATAGCTGGGCATGGAGGCGTGTGCCTGTAGTCCCAGCTACTCAGGGACGCTGAGACAGGAGAATCTCTTGAACTTAGGAGGCAGAGGTTGCAGTGAGCAACAACAAAAAAAATGAAGACTTCATCTTTTTTTTCTTTTTTTAAATTTTGAGGTGGAGTCTTACTCTGTTACCCAGGCTGGAGTGCAGTGGTGTGATCTTGGCTTACTGCAACCTCCACCTCCTGGGTTCAAGAGATTCTCCTGTCTCAGCCTATGCGAGTAGCTGGGACTACAGGTGCATGCCACCATGCCCAGCTAAGTTTTGTATTTTTAGTAGAGATGGGGTTTTACCCTCTTGGCCAGGACGGTCTCCATCTCTTGACCTCATGATATGCCCACCTCAGCCTCCAAAAGTACTGGGATTTCAGGCATGAGCCACCATGCCCATCCAAGATTTCATCTTGGTTTGAATCCACTGCTGGAGAGCTAATGTGATCTTTAGGGGTGCTATAGAACCCTGTTTTGCCATAGTACCAGAATTATTTTTCTGGTTCCTTCTCTTTTGGTAGATCATTTCTTCTAGTTATTATAGCATTTAATTTTATTGTTTAAAAAAATGTTTTTTTACCCCCTTAAGGATGTGACTTTAATGTTTCCTGTAGTGTAATTTGGCTCTTGGTGCTTTCAGGGATGAAGATTCTAGGTAAGTTCCTTGGTTATTGGGAGTCTTTGTATGATGCCCTTCTCAGAGGCTTGTTGTAGTAACAATGTGCTCAGTGTGTGAGCAAGTTCACTGTCTCACACGGGGTTGGAATGGCAGAGTTCTCTTGAAGCTTACTTATCTCATTCCCCTGTGGTATGTACCTTTTTGTTTACTTATTTTTCCCTAGTATTTTATTTACTGGGTTGAACAGCCTGAGCTTAAGGCCAGCAGGGGAGGTATCCCTGTATAGAAACCAGTATGGCTAAAGCAGGTGGGTAAATGCAATACCCAATGGTGGGCAGAGGTCCCAACATTGTCAGCAGTGGCTGGGGGAGCTCTCAGTGAGACACACTGAATGTCTTATCAGGGGGAAGGGTGGGAGCCACCTCAGCTCTCCTGCCAGGCCAGCAGGAAAGCTATCTACCTCCCAGACATACTCCTGACCATGTTCCAGCTATTCAGATCAGACCTCTTTTCATCTGCAGGAATGTTGATGTTCCCAGTAAACAATTATGACTCTACTTCTTGTGCAAGACTGAACCTGGAGGTGCTCCTTCTATGGGGATATAGTCATCCTGAAGTGTTCCAGAAAGGCTATTCATAGATGTACTCACACCAAGCTCCCATGGGAGAAGCCCCAACTATGTCTGCAATGGTGGATGACAGGGAAAAAAAGTCCCCTTCTCTGAAATTCTTCACAAGAAGCAGGGTTGGTGCCTGGCTGTTGGAGTAGAGCTACAGACTTTCCCTGCTAAGCCCAACACTGCAACGGTGCCCCTGCTGAAAGAAACTTCCAGCAGCAGAAAGAACTGGGACTCAGGTCCTGCCATCCAGAGTCTTTTGGCCCATGGGGTGTTCCCTCGATTTTGTATACTCCCCTTGCCCCTAGAAGTAGGAGTCCCTGAGAGCCAGACTACTATGAATTCTGGTGCTCTTCTGGGTCTAGCCAAATAGTGGGGCTGCCACACTCCAGGCTGGTACTAGGGAATGTCTGTAAGGGATCCAGTGATGTGACCTGTCCTCAAGTCTCCCAGAAGCAGGTACCAGCACTGGCTCTGATGGGGGTTGCAGAGAAGTGACACAGACTCTGTGAGATTCCTTAGTTATACATGGCTTTTTCAAATGTCAGTGGTAGTAGGTAATGACCAGTTACATGAACAGACTCAGAACCTCCTGGTTGGCCAGGGTGGTGCAGGCAATGGTGATAGCTGAGGTCAGGCACAAGGTTTCTCCTTCCAGATAGAATAATAACAGTGTTATTCTACCTGGAGGTGCTGTAATGGACTGTGTTGGTTGGCCTTCAGCCAGGAGGTGGCACTAGGAAAAGAGCACCAGCTGTGGTAAGTAGGGGTGGGATTTGTGCTTGCCTTATATTTCCCAGGGAGAAAGGAGTAGCAGGCAGTACCCACTAAGCTCCCACTAATGTGACAAGACAGATCTGACACTTCCAGTGATGCACTAGCAGCAGCAAGCTAAGGTCCAGGCCGTCTTGCTCAGAACTAAAAACTGCCCCAGGCCATAAGCCTTCCCTGCAGAGATACTATGTGAGGTAATGCATATGTTAATTAGCTTGATTTAACCATTCTAGAAGGTATGTACATATTTCAAAACATCATGTTGTACACAATAAATGCCTACAATTTCATGTCAATTCTTTTTAAAAAGGTAGAGACAATGTTTTCTTTTTCTTTTCTTTAAATCTCTGTAGCTTACTGCTTGGCTCAGCATTAGGCCCTGGAGGTAATAAAGATGTGTTGAATGAACGAGCACACAAGTGAAAAATGCTTAGAAACATGTTCTGCTAAATTGGGGTCAGATTGCTGTCCAAACTCCTCCAGTAGAGGACAATCACCTCCTCCTTATGGAAGATCTATATAATCACAGAACTGCTAGACTCAAAAAGGAACCTCAGCTAAAATGGTTTGTTGACCCTTCTATGCAAAGGTCAGCAAACTAGAGGATATTCAGCATGGCTAAAGAGGGTGGGTTGAGTGCAGTGTTAAGAAGAGTTTTGAGAGGAAGGTCACTAAAGTCTGGCATGTCATGAAAGGTACAGATCCTGAGCTATTATTGATCTCCTGCACCTCTAATTCTGACCATCCCCTAAGGCTTCATTAATTCTTCTGAG